CTTAATTGTGTCCGTCGACAGGCCCGGAGACCGTGGGTGGGGGCGTCGCAATCCAAACGACCTTGGGGGTCCACCTGTTGGTGTTGAGAACCACCCGGGGTCACTGTCGGACTTGCCCATCTTTGCGGTGTGTGGAGGATGGGAGAGGAGAGGTGATGATGCGCGGAGTGGATATGGGGTTTGTCAGCCAGACCAGCCTACTTAAATAGATAGGCTGGTCTGGCGGACCAACACCACTTCAACGAGCGTAGCGGCCCGAGTAGGCTTCTCGGTCGCTGTGCTCAAATTGAAGCAGCAGCTCTGGTGAGCTGTTTGGTCACGCCGGTCTGACCTGCTGTGCCGGAGTAGGCTTCTTGGTCACCATGTTCACATTGAAGCAGCTTCGATGAGCCGTCTGGTCACGCCGGTCTGACCTGCTGCGCCAGAGTAGGCTTCTTGGTCGCCGTGTTCACATTAAAGCAGCTTCGATGAGCCGTCTGGTCACACCGGCCTGACCTGCTGCGCTGGAGTAGGCTTCTCGGTCATTGCGTTCACATTGAAGCAGCTTCAGTGAGCTGTCCGGGCACGTCAGCCTGACCTAGACCTGGGCAAACACTTTGCCGAGTTGTGTTTCGGGTCGAGCTTGTAAAATCCCAACCTTCCTTCCTCAAGCTCGAGCTCGGCCCGAAGCCCGAAACACTATGTTTTCAAGTCCAAGCCCGACCCAAAATCATTCCTGAAAGCCCGCCTTGAATACTATTTTTATTGTACACACGTGCAAGCCTGACTTGAAATACAAAAAAAAGAGAAGCCCGAGCCGAGCCCGAACTACCTTCCGTGCTGCAAAACAAGGCCTCCCGACCCGGGTTTTTGGGGCTGGGTTCGGGCGGGGTCGTGTGGTCGTGTCGGCTTGGAGGGCAGTGAATGCTTGACGAGGTTTTCTTGAGCGGAACGCGCGGAGAGGGTTTGGATGGGACCACCTAGTCGGGTGGGTGCCTACGTGGCGCATTCCCAAACGCCCACAAACCCGCTACAGGTGGTTTGTGGGGATTTTAGATGCCCGGACTTGGGACCGCCCCACGGACATTTGATGCACGGCGTCAGATGACAAAATGTGTGTGGACCATGTGGTTCAAAATTTGTAGTGCCGTTTTGATGCACGGCATTGGAGTTGCCCTAATAATAATAATACAAAAAATACAAGAAGAAGAATTAGTTTTGAAAAAAAGAAAAAAAAGAAGGAACACACAAATTGTAATTTTTGGGTGGAAGGCAAAGAAAGAAGGGAGAGGAGAGAAGAGAGGAGGATAATCCAACCCAGCTGCTTCTCAAACTGCTGCTGCTGCTGCTGCTGTAGAAGGGAGGCGGCGCCGTGTGCATCGCCTCCTCAACTCATCGATCGGAAAAAAGATCTCTTCTTGACCTTGCTGGGTTGACGCCCACACAGATCTCAAGCTCAGGGGGCGACTCCCGTCTCATCTCATCTCATCGGAGGGGGATGGACTCCAATCCGCCGTCGCAGCCGCCGCAAGGTCCGTAATCTGCTTCTCTCTCTTTCTCTGCCCCCCCTCGATTCCCCAATTCGATCGCTGCTGACCAACCCAACCAATCAATTCTGCCCGGAACCAGCAGCAGCAGACGCCGGCGAGAAGCCGCAGCAGCCGGCCTTCGAGGCGCCAGCGCCGCAGCCGGTGAGGGAGGAGTACGTGCAGAACGCCGTCAAGTTCCTCTCCCACCCCAAGGTCAGGGGCTCCGCCGTCGTCTACCGCCGCTCCTTCCTCCAGAACAAGGGCCTCACCGCCGACGAGATCGACGAGGCCTTCCGCCGAGTCCCCGTACGCACCTTCTTCTTCCAGTCACCTTCCTCCATCTACTCCTGCTCGCTCCAGCTAACCTGCTCTGCTCTGCTCTGCTGCAGGATCCGCCGCCCACCACCGCGTCCCCTCCGACCCAGGCCCAGGCCCAGGCCCAGGTCCCCGCCGCCGCCGCGCCTCCGCAAGCTTACGCGCAGCCAGCGGCGGGGCCCATCATCGTCGCCGCGCCTCAGCCCAGGCTCACCTGGTACCGCGCCTTCGTCGCCGCCGGGCTGCTGCTCGGCTTCGGAGCCAGCGCCGCCGTCTTTGTCAAGGTAGTATTTATCTTCACCTCTCATATCTTGCCTGCAGGTCTTCTTTTAGCCTTTGTGACTCAGCCATTAACAGCAAGTTTACCTATCTGTTGCACAGAAGCTGCTCCTTCCCAGGCTCAAGTCATGGATCCGCAGGGTCGTCGCCGAGGGCGATGAGGCGACCGAGCTCAAGGCCAAGATCGACGAGGAGACCAGGGAGGCCGTCAAGGCCTCCGCGACGGCCGTTTCCGCCATCGCCCAGACCAACCAGGAGCTGCTCGCTTCCAAGGACGAAGGTGTCCTTACCTACTAAACACTGCTTCTTCTTAGTTCATCACACTAGTTCAGTTAACCACAGATGCAACTTTATATCTTCATCTCAGGTTGATCACACTGTTTCTGTTTATCTTACATAATAGTATATCCATTCTACTTATGTTTTGGCAGAAAAGAAGATACTTGTGACTTTGACGCAGGCCCTGGATTCCCAAGCAAAGGTGTTGAAATCGCTGAGCGAGTCGTTGAGCCATAATAGCCGGGACTCCGTAAATATTACCAGGGAGGATAGGTTTTCGCACTACCGCCCACTGGAGGATCATGGCCCCTCTGCCGCGAGGAATGGTCAGTATCAAGCAAATCTGTGTAGCATTTCTCTTTGTTGTTGTATTTGATTTAGGATGCAAAGTTAATCTAGCTACAGCAGGAACCACGCTGAAAACCTTAAAGACCATCGTTGCCCATCATTTAAAGGGAAGGCTTGTTTTGCTATGCTGTTCCACTTCACATTAGCCAACGCTAAGCTTATTTTTCACCTGCATCAAAAGATACCACCTTATGTATAAATCCATGCGTACCGTTTCATAATGCTGTATAAACCCACCTGTACCGTTTCATACTTCGTTGTTCTTTCTTTGCATCAAACACGCTTCAAAGCTGATCTAATTGTAGAGGGAACAATGGTAAAGACCTTTGCCTCTACCTTTCTCCACCATTTAGAAGGTCCTTTCTATGCTGTTCAACCTTCCATCCACCCTGTATCGGAACGTGTACAGCTTATGTTGTGAAAATGCCATATAAAGCCATATGCAAGCATGCATGTCCTAGACCAGACAGATTTTACTAATGATTGTTGATGCCGATAACTACGAGGATCTGACCAAATTATTGTTTGTTTGACCACAATGTTCAGGCCCTGTTAACACTCCATGGAGACCTCCTCAGGTGTGCACTTGTTTTGTTCATCCTGTTATAATAACACTTTCAATAATATGCTCATGCTTTGGATATAACTGTCCTATTACTGAACTGCTTTTCCTTTTTTGTAGCAACCTAATATGTATGGTGCTCCAAACAGTGACTTCGGCTCAGGTCAGCATCTCTTGCTAAGCTCCTAGTTGGATGATTCCATCTTTCTTGCTACTTACCATTGGGTGTTTGCTGAGCAGGGAGGCCTTCGTTTGCGCCAGCACCTACTGAACCTACCTCTGGGTCATATTCAAGATCTTATGTTGAGGTAAGAAACCAATCATATACACCTTGCTTTTGCTGAAATAGTGAATGAGCTGGATTGACTCTTCAACACACAATTTGGTGTTGTATGATGCACAGATTATGTCGTTTTCTGTAGTTATAACCTCCTGTCCAGCTTTGGTATTCCAGTAAACTATATATCAAAATTTGCATGTTGACCAAACACAATTTGCTAGTGTATCGAAAACCTGACTCCAGTGAGTCGCCGTATTTTACTTTTTTTTTATACAAAATCTGACATTCTGACTACCCCTGTCGTAGCCTGTTCAATGAGATGTATATATCTAAGTTCGTGTGACATTTCTTCATTACATATACATGTGTTGACACCTTATTTCTTGAATATTGTCTGACATGTCTTTGCATGACATTCCGACTTTCAGCAGACGGTACAGCGAGGGGATAATAGATCTTCTGGGACCAAGGTATGATATGATGACCCTGAGCCTTATCTTTGCTGCAAACAAAAGCGCTTCTTATTACTTGTAATAATAATAACTAACAGTGTCTTATCTCTATTGCTAGACGCAGCAGGCATTGGAGATGCTGCAACACGCAGAGCAAAAGCTTGCTTATAGATCCAACGCCTACTTGAGCGAGGATGGATCGTACTCTCAAGCTCAGGACAACTATGCCCCCTCGTACCACCAGAACGGGAAGGCCCCTGATTTCCACGCAGAGGAGCCGAGGCCGCTGGCGTACGGCGGCGGTGTTGTGGAAAGGCCGCCGCCTCAGCGCCAGTGGGTCCCCCCTCAGCCTCCAGGTGTCGCCATGCCGGAAGCGGCGGCCGCCATCCGTCAACAGAAGTCCCTTACGAAGCAACCGTCTAGCGACACGTCCGAGGCTGCTGGTGAGGTGCAGGTGAACGGCGCCGCGAGCTCGCCTTCCGTCGCTGCCGCTGAGGTGCCGGTTAATGGGAGTGCCGCAATCGATGCTGGACGCAGCGAGATCGAAGAGCAGCAGGCGGAAGCCGTCTAAACAACAGTTGCGCCATCCGACAACCGCAACACAATCTAAAAGTCCTAGGCCAGAGCCTGGTACTACATATGGCAGTTTGTCATAAGTTTGTGACGAGTGTTTGGATTGTGGCTAGTGATGGAATAAAAGAATAAGCCAGACTTAAAATCTAGCTATATGTGATTGTGAATTTTAGATTATGTATACTATCTGCTGTATACTGAAAAATAACAAGAAAAGACTGTTATGGTTGTGAGCTATGATGCATTCTTGTCTTGTTGATGATGTTGGTATCCATCATTGAGGGCTTTTGGTATCCTGTTGTGCATGCATCACCCAAGATGCCAAAATTCAGTTGGATCTTGAATCATGTGGTGACTGCTGATGCAGATCCAGCCAGCCAGCAGCCTGACCACTCATGTCAGTTAGTTTCAGCAAACATCATTTTTTTTTTGCTTGCTTGGTTTTATTATCATCAGCCTGCAGCTCTGCATAAAAGCTTTCCTTTTTTTGGTTCTGTTTGCTGTCTCAGGTTGAAATGAAGATGGCAACCAGATCAACTCACTCCAGGATTGCAGTTTCTTTCTGGCCTATCAACCACATATGGAAGGTACTTACAATGAAACCAACTGCATTTTATCATCATCATCATCATCATCATGCCAAGGGGAGGGATCAAGCACACCATAGCTTAGTTCATTGGTAGCAGGTAGATATATATTACACATGAGATTAGAAGCTCGATCGTCGCTGCAGGCAGTATGGATCGACACTGAAACATACCGAGTGAGACTAGCAGCTACGATTATTCGAGCAGTAGCAGTACCTAAGGAGGACTAGGGTTCATAATATACAAGAAGACCAACTGGATCACTGACTAAACTAACTATACTAGGGGGTAGGAGGAGCTTATCTCCATGTAGCAGACTAGACCACAGAAGAGCTGAGCTGAGCTGAGATCAATGGTGATGAGCAGCAGCTGAGGTGGAACTAGACTAGAGCTAGTAATATACAAGAGCACCTGGATCACTAACAAACTATACTAGGAGGTAGGGAGAGCTTATCTCCATGTAGCAGACCAGAGCAGAGCAGAGCTGATCCAAGCTGAGAGATCAATGGCGATGAGCAGCAACTGAGGTGGAAGGCCCTGCCCCGCCGGCATTCAGCGCCCTGTCGACCTTGACCAGCAGGTGCTGCATCTCTCCGGCGAGGCTCCACGCGCTGTCCTCCTTGCCGAGCAGAGAGGGGCCGGTGAGGGACGCGATCATCCTCTCAAGGTTCTTCCGGACGTCTGTCAGCGGGATCTTTGGAGGGGGCGGCGGCGGGCGCAGGTACTGCAGCCGCGCCGCGGCAAAGTGGCCGAGCGTGTGCACGCAGCTGTAGGCGGCCTCGGCCGCGGCGCCGCTCTGGAACACGACGCGTGCCTGCTTCTTGGTGATCTCGGTGCTGGGCTCGATCAGGGGCCCGAAGCCGCGGAGTGTGGAGTGGAGCTGCTCCTTGGAAGGGAGCTGGTCGGCGGCGGTGCCCGGGGCGAATTGCAGGATGAGGGCCACCGGCTTGCTGAAATGCTGCTGCCCGTTGACAGCTTTCTTGTTCTTGGCCGGCTTCTTGGGTGCGGAACCGGCGCCGCCGTTGTGGGTGGCAGCGAGTTGAGCAGAGCAACCGGCGTCGGCGGCACTAGTAGGCGCGCCGAGTGCGAATGTCACCTTCTTCTTCCTCCTCCTCTTGCTGGGTCCGGCTCCTCCTGGTGCTGCTGCTGCTGCATTCGTTGGTCCAACTCCAACGTGGTGGTGGGCTTGTGCGTGTCCAATGGCAATGCCACCGGCCTGTTCCTTGCCGGCAGATCCGTGGGGGACGGCGACGGCCATGGCCTGGCATGGATTCGGGCGAGCGGCGGCGGTGGCAGGAGCTTCGTTAGAGCGATGCTGACCTGTGCTGCTGACCAGGGCAGCGTCGTCCTTGCCGGCGCGGCCGGTGGCGGGCACGGAGACGGAGGCGGAGGCTTCCCTGTGGAGGGCGAAGAAGGCGAGGAGGGCGCCGGCGTCGACGTTGCCCACCAGGGGCTCGTAGTCGTAGGGGGATGCGGCGCAGCGGCGGAGCGCGGCGAGCAGGTCGGGCGCGGCGACGTCGGCCTGCTGGAGCCGGAGGAGCAGCGCCGGGCCCTCGCTCGCCGCCCCCTTTCTTGGAGGCGGGGTGTCGCCGCCGTGGAGGGCGCTGAGGATGGTGGGGGTCTCGTAGTCGTCGAGGTACCTGCTCCTCTTGCGCGCGCGCTTGGCCCCCTTGTCCTCCACGGCGAGCGCGAGTGTTTGGGCCGCGGGTGGTGGGGCGTCGTCCATGAGCATGAGGGCGCCGGAGACGAAGGGGGGGAAGGGCGATCTGTGGATCCGGTGGCTCCGTGCTCCTCCTTACAACTTTTTTCTCCTTGGTCTTGGTCTTGGTGTCGGGTGGGTTCAACCATCAATGTCTTCTTTACTCCTTTCCACACCACATTGATATTGTTTGGTTGTCTGCATTGTAACGGAGGGTACAAAATTAGTACAAAGTTGGGTTATCTATTTTTGGAACGGAGGGAGTAACAGTGATCAGATTAGGACATGATATTTATGCTTTCAGGGGTGAGCAGACGCAAGCCACAGTTGTTGTTTGCTTACGTGCTATGCAAGTACGCACCGTGGAGTGTTCTACTCACCCCTTTCAAACGTGACGGCCTCACCATCGAAATGCAGCAGGTCACATAAAAAAACAACGCTTCACGTAAATAGCACAAGTTCAGGACAACAAGGGCATCCGATACACGTGCACGGCCCCGGGGCGGCTGAACCCAGCTAAAGTTCAAACGATCACCGACATCACGACGGTAGACAAACCGACCAACTAGAGGGCATGCATGCTGGATGTCGCCCTGGTATGGTACCCATGCTTCTGGGTACACGTGCACGTGCACGCACGAACCCCGGCTTCTTGGCCACCATGTTGAGCTCAGCGTCGGTGAGCCTCACGGCGAATCCGCTGAACACTTGAACGTACGAGTGGAGAAGGCGTGGCATTGGCGGTGGGCGTCTTCGTCGGCGTTCGGGCGCTGTGGCTCGACGAGCACGATGTAAGAACGGTGAGCGGAGTTTTTCGTGGCAATTTTGTTGTACCCTCGTGGCGGATGGGCTGAGATAGCATAGTGTAAGCGCAGGAAAGAGGGCGGCGAGCAAGAGAAGTGGTGGTAAGAGGTTGGTAATCGACGCCATTTCTCAAGCCACACTCAGCTACACGATGAAGATGATTTATACATGACCAACGATCAATATTTTGTGTCTTATTTTTGGCATATGTTGATGAGTTCATAAATCCAGCGCATGGGGTAACACATAAAATGACTTGAATTTGTGTTAAATCTGGATGATATGACACATAAATGTTACGTGGGATTGCGGGGACACGGGTAATGTATCTGCCCGGGTTTACGGTGCGGGGTGTGTGTGGGGGTAAAAGCACGTAACCTTCTTCGGTTTTCCGGATGATCTTGAATTCATATGCTGCAGTATTGGTGAATATTTTTGCTTCCTCCTACGATGTGTTACCATCATCTCATAAATGACTAGTATCAACAGATTGTTGAACGGAAATACTATCTATTTTATGTACTAGTACTAAAGGTAGAATGGGAATAATAAACTAGAAAATAGCTCAAAATTTGGAGACATGCAAATCCCCATTGATTCTCTGCAGCTTCCTTCTCCTTTTTCCTTCCTTTCCACATCAATTTGGGAGCAATGGACAGCTGAACAATCACATGTTTAACATTAACTGACAAAATTGCCAGCCTCTTAATTCATGTTCAGCCCAGAGTGGCATGATGCATTTCTCAGGTTGGGAGGTTCAAAG